GAAGTGTCATTCCCATAACAGAACAATAATACTCACAACCCGGAAGTACCATTCCCATAACAGAACAATTGTGTTCTGTTTTGGGAACAGTACTTCCGGGTTGTGAGTATTATTGTTCTGTTATGGGAATGGCACTTCCGGTATCAGAGTACCATATATTTGAAATGGGTATAGTATGGACTAATGGACTCCACTTAGGCTCACGCCAACTTTGGCTCACTTCATATGACCTCCATTGATCGATATTGTGTTTTTCGTAAAATGCTTATAAAATATCAAGACTTGAATATTTTTTAAAACAGCTTCCCTCTACAACATATTTTTGATTAAACAGAATCTGACGACCTTGATTGAGCAGATTAGTTGGTGGCTTATATGATCTAGCTCCTATACCATATAATTCTTACTTAGATAGAAATATTGTAAAGGTTTACCATGAATAGACGCACCAATTAATGAAGTAATGAATATATAAACAGAAACAAAAACTCGAATAACACGTTCCTGAAATAAATGTCAGATAAAAATTATTTTTAAAAATAGAAAATTTATAAATATCACCTTCTGCAAGAATGGTTGTAATTGATCTACATCATCCTTGCAGAGGAACAACCATACGAAACGTATAATAATACGTAATAAATAAATGATTAACACAGTAATGATCGAGGATAAACGAGTAAAATGATTGACATATGTATTAAACATTGCATTTGAAGTATTGTTTTTTATAAATAATGTTTCATTTAAGATATTCTTTTTTAATTCGATCATGTACTTCTTAGGTAAGGTAAATTCGAGAGTAATATATGAAATTACAATAATCTAGAAAAAAAAAAGAAAAGAGAAAGTTATTACATTATATATGCACTTACTAATTCAAGTATTTTAAAACATGCTTCAATTATTTTTGCACTTGATTTGGAGATTGGTTTTTCTTTGCCAATTCTATATTGAATAGTACTAAAACATTCATATATTGTTATTCGTATTCGATCAGACATTTTTTTATCTACAAATTATAAAACAATTATTTTTATTTTTGATGGAAAATTGAGGGTCAATTTCCCATTACATTATATATGCACTTACTAATTCAAGTATTTTAAAACATGCTTCAATTATACCCTCAACAAACATTTCAACATACTTGTTGAAGTAGATAACATTAAACAAGTACGAAAACGTACATTTTCACATTGGCCACATCGATCATCACCTTCCAGCTCACAAATGATTGAAGCTGGATTTTTTAGTTGTAATGTTGGTGATCGTGTCATATGCATTTATTGTAATATTATCTATCAACAATGGATTCCAAATAGTAACAATCCATGTGAAATACATAGAACACTCTCACCCAAATGTCCTTATGTTATATCCATGTTGATTCGTCCTCAAACATCAACGATTTTGGTTATTAATGAACATTGTAGCACTGATCAATCATCCACCTCAACCAACATCGATCCATTTCGATGTAATGCACTTGTTTATACTGCAGCTTGTAATCCATCTTATATTGAAATACCAAAACGATATGCATCTTTTGCTACTTGGCCTAATGAAAACTTATCATCTGTTAATGATCTAGTCAAAGCTGGCTTCTTTCATACTGGTACTAAAACTATTGTGACTTGTTTTTATTGCAATGGTTCTTTACAAAACTGGGGTCCAAATGATAATCCAATGATAGAACATGCTCGTTGGTTTCCACATTGTGCATATGCAAAACAATTGTGTGGTGCTAAACTGTATCGAAAGATTCAAGAATCAACGCAAACTCAACAAGGTTTCTTCTCATGCTCTTTTCTGAATGTATTTCGTTTTTATGTTTTTGATTTAGCAACACCTAGTTCTAAGAATTGGATCAATCAGTTAATAATCAATAATAGTAGCACAGTCGATGATCGATGGTCAATATCAGATGAGGATACGTTATGGCAACTTGTAGCTGCTCGACTTGATTTGCCTATTTCACAGAGTCTCCTTAGTCGTAACTTCAACCTATCGATCATTAAAAGATGTTGGGAAGATCAACTTCGATTAAAACGTAAATTGAGAGATTTTTTTCATGATTTTGTACAGAAAAATTAAACTAATTGGTCTTAAACATTTTTTTTTTAGATGAAGATTTTGTGAGTGATTCTGATCTGTTAATG